AATGATTCGGTGAGCCGACATGTGCAGAAGAGGTCGTTGAAGCCACGCTTTTCGGCCAGGTTCGAGCGTCTGAGACTAACGGGATTGTGCCAGATGCATCCCACGGCGCTGTTGGCACAGTGCTCCATGACAAAGGCGTTTGGTCAGGAATAGAACAGGCCAAAGGTGACCAACGCAGCCGGTGCTGTAGGATGCCACTACCCTTTCATGAGACCCTTCTTGCTGACCCCTCTTCCCCACACGATCGCCAGCCATGTTCAACCACTCGTGAGGGGCAAGACGGGCCAGCGCCAGAATTCTTGGATTTTCACCGGACATGATGAGCAATTTCTCCTGGAAATGAAGTAGACAGCGCCAGTGAGCCTCGCGAAGTCCTCGTCAGGTGTGCTCGTTGAAAACCGATATGTTGTCATTCTACATACGCATCAGTTTTCCAACGGGTTCTGAGCAGTTTTATGTATTGTGCGTGCGCCAACATCATGACCAACAGCGGTTTAACATCGCAGAGCTCGGCCCGCGCAATCCAGGATCAGGCCGCGCATTCGACCAAGCCAGTCTTGTCATCCATCATTGCCAGCCGGTCCGTTTTTGCCGGTGCTAGTCTGCAGTGGTCTCCTAACTGTTGCGATTCCACTGCAAGAGCATGTTGGTTCGCTAGACTCCGACAAGTCAGCAAGTGCCAGCTCAGACATGGCAACCCGCTAACTGCAGTGCAGTGAAGTTCTGAAACAGTTGAACAGTTGGAACAGTGCAGGGAAAAATTTTTGTCTTGGCAGCTCTCTTGTCTTTAAAATAGAAGGCACATGTTGCACCAAAAAACAGTTTACCTGAACTGATGCTACTGCTATTCACATCCTGCTGCCACATCACATCTACAGGAATGACAACAAGATGATGGATTCTTTCGCACCATTGCTGGGCGACTTGATCTGTTGGGCACGCGTTGCGTTGCTCGTGCTGCAGGGCACGACTTTGACTTGGAACGGGTGCAAAAGCGCCTAACTTTGCACAGCAAGGAGCCCTGCGGAAGTCCGAAAGATGTGTCATGGCGATCGGAGGTGCACTCACAGGCATTAGAATTGAGGTAGTTCAACGGCATCGCTACTAGGAGCAAGGACGCTACTAGTAGCTCCTGGCATTACTACTAGGAGCAAGAAGCTACTAGTAACCAAGGGCATCGCTACTAGTAACAAGGTTTAGGAGTCTTTTTGATCGTTTTGGAGTCACACCTTCGGTCAGGACGCAGAGGGTGTTCTCAATTTTGCCGGGCATGAAGACAATGGTCCGGAAACTTAGGGTATTGAAGTCAATGTGGGTCATCTATTCCGCCTATTAGGCATGTAAGGCATGAAAGACATGTTTGACTGGGCTGAACTGAGAAGGGTGACAGGTTCTCAGAACGTGTCTAACGCCGTTCTGAATTTTCTCTCAGCCTAGGCCGTGGAGCTGCAAGGTGGATTAAGAATACAGAGGCGCGAGAGTAGTTGAGGGGTGCCTTAAATGAGGAAGGACAATGTTGTTGTGATGCCACCAGTGATATCGCGAATAGCTACTAAAACCACATCACGGGTATTCACATGTTTCACTATAATCACCGGACGGGTAGTGCATTTCTTCGCCACGAGTGGTGTCGGTCCTATCCATCGCCGGTCTGTGGTCCGTCCATGGTCTCTTCGAAGAACAAGGAAAGAGTTCTTTTTAGAGTTAAGCCCTAGTAGCTTCTTGTTCCTAGCAGCAAGAATGTTACTTGTAGCGATTCCATTGTTCCTGGTAGCTTCTTGTTCCTAGCAGCAATAATGCTACTAATACTAGTAGCAATGCCCTTTGTTACTAGTAGCGATGCCAGTGGTCCTGGTAGCTTCTTGTTCCTAGTAGCACTAGTAGTAATGCCCTTTGTAGCCTGTGTTACTAGTAGTGATTCCCGTGTTCCTGGTAGCTTCTTGTTACTAGTAGCAAGAATGCTACTAATACTAGTAGCAATACCCTAGCGATTCCCGTGTTCCTAGTAGCTTCTTGTTTCTAGTAGCAAGAATGCTGCTGCTGCTGCTACTACCACTACTACTACTACTACTACTACTACTCCTACTGCTACTGCTACTGCTACTGCTACTGCTACTGCTACTCCTACTACTACTACTACTACTACTACTACTAGTAATGCCCTTTGTTGCTACGTTCCTGGTAGTGATTCCGGTGTTCCTGGTAGCTTCTTGTTGCTAGTAGCAAGAATGCTACTACTACTAGTAGTGATGCCCTTGGTTACTATGCTGGTAGTCATGCCCTTTGTTACTAGCAGCGATTCCCGTGTTCCTTGTAGCTTCTTGTTCGTAGTAGCAAGAATGCTACTAATACTAGTAATAATGCCGTTTGTTACTAGTAGTGGTCGCCGTGTTCCTAGTAGCTTCCTGTGCCTAGTAGCAAGAATGCTACTAATACTAGTGTAGTGCACTTTGTTACTCGTAGCGTTGCCCTTGTCCTAGTAGCTTCTTGTTACTAGTGGCAAGAATGCTACTAATACTAGTAGCAATGCTCTTTGTTACTAGTAGCGATTCCGGTGTTCCTGGTAGCTTCTTGTTCCTAGTAGCGCTAGTAGTAATGCCCTTTGTAACCCTTTGTTACTAGTAGTGATTCCCGTGTTCCTGGTAGCTTCTTGTTCGTAGTCGCAAGAATGCTTCTAATACTGATAACACTGCCCTTTGTTACTAGTAGCGCTTCCCGTGTTCCTGGTAGATTCTCTTTTCTAGTAGCAAAAATGCGACTAGTAGTAGTAGTAGTAGTAGTAGTAGCAGGAGTAGTAGTAGTAGTAGTAGTAGTCGCATTCTTGCTACTAGGAACAAGAAGCTAACAGGAACGCCGGAATCGCTACTGGTAACAAAGGACATTACTACTAGTATTAGAAGCATTCTTGCTACTAGGAACAAGAAACTACCAGGAGCACGGGAACCGCTACTAGCAACAAAGGGCTAGTAGTAGTAGTAGTAGTAGTAGTAGTAGTAGTAGTCTTGCTACTAGGAACAAGAAGCTACCAGGAACGCCGGAACCGCTACGAGTAACAAAGGACATTACTACTAGTATTAGAAGCATTCTTGCTACTGGCCAGGAGCTACTGGTAGCGTCCTTGCTCCTTGTGGCGATGCCCTTTGCTACTAGTAGCTTCTTTATCGTCTGTTCCCTTAGAGTTCTTTTAGACAATCCGTTTTTGTTCTTTGTCCTGCACTTGACAGGCGGTTGCAATGGGCGCGTTGAACAAGTATGAGACCGGACAGCACAAGATGCTGGGCTGCAGAGTTCTTAGGTTTTTCTGGTATTGGATTTTTGTAGTTACATGTAAAGAGAATCTTTTCGATAGTGCTTTTGGAGCAACGCGCGTTGAATCCAAATGACCATTCCTCAGCCAGATGACCTTTCACCTTCCCTTTTTGCATGACACCCTTCACCATTGTACAGTATGTGCATCCTTCCAAGCTAGAGTGTTCATGCCGTCGAAGCAGGATCTTCTCGGATTTCGCGGAGAAGTTGAAGGACACCACAGGCTCGACATGAACGACATGAACGACAAGAACCCGGAGCAGAGCCGTACTCCAATAAAGCATCAAGTTCGGTAGCACAAGCATAGTTTCCCCTAAAGGAGAAGAGAGAAGAGTCTGAGCAATCTAGGCTGGAGGCCATCGCAGGTTGGAGGCCATCGCTCTTACTGGTAGAAGCAAAGCACAAAGCAATCCAGCAAAACACCAGTCTGAGCTCTCAGATGCTTCGGTGAGTTTGATGGGATCTCCCGTCCGCTTCAGCACACACACACACACACACGCATTTGTTGTGCCTCCGCCACCCAGACTACATGAACAAGCGCATGGGGAGCACTGGAATATCAATGGCTCCTTGGAAGATTGCAAAGGCTGTGCAATCTGAATGTCCAGAAAAGATAAAGGGAACGAGACGACAAGAAGGAAGGTCTAGAGTCTGGAGGTCTAAAGGAAAAAGCAAGGAAGACAAGACGCTCAGACACTCAGACAACAGAGCCTCTTCTCTTGTTTGGAACAGTTTAGAACATTTTTAGCACTTCGCTACTAGTAACAATGGCATTACTACTAGTTTACTAGTAGCTAGAAGCTACTAGTAACAAGGGCATCGCTACTAGGAGCAAGGACGCTACTAGTAGCTCCTGGCATCGCTACTAGGAACAAGAAGCTATTAGCTTATTGTGTCTACTAGCTTCTTGTTACTACTAGTAAGGCACTTGTTACTACTAGCGATGCACTTGTTACTAATAGTGAACAAGAAGCTCCTAGGAGCAAAGGCCTTCCAGTTTTCAGCTCCGGACGGACTAAGGGCTCCACTGGGGTCAGCTTTGCAGCGCCAGACACCACAGTCTTCTTGCAACCTGAGGCAGTCCTGGGCGAGGTTTCTCAGACAATGCCAGGGTCGTAAAAAGGAAAGAATAGAGAAATAGAAAGAGAGAGGGAGGGGAGGAGAAGGACTGTGTTTGTGTTTGTTCCTGTTTTCATCATTCTTTTTGATATTTTTTGACATGTACCAGTCTTTCCTGGAAGCTCATGAGTGGTGATTGCAGCAAGCGATTGCCAACCTGCTTCATGAACCTATTCTGAATTTCTATTGGACGACATGTTTCATACCTTTTCCAAAAAATACGCTACTAGTAGCAAAGGGCATCGTTACTAGGAGCAAGGACGCTACTAGGGGCTCCTGGCTTCATTCACTACTAGGAGCAAGGACGCTACTAGGGGCTCCTGGCTTCACTACTAGGAGCAAGGACGCTACTAGGGGCTCTTCTTCAGTGCGAGCGCTTCTTCAAGGTAAAGGGGGGCGGGGGAGCTTCCTTGAAGAACCGTGAGCTATCCTGCGTCATGCTAGTAGCTTAACTAGCTAGCTACCTTTTCCACTAGCTACCCTACCTATCTCGGCCTACCTTCCCCCCTGCGGGCGTGTTGGCGGCAGGAAAGAGATATGCTGCAAAGTCTGGAGATGCAAAAGAAACAAAAAGAGAAAACGGCCCCTTGGCAAAGCCCTTAGACTCAGACTAGCGAACGACGGAAAGTCACTGGCGCGACTCAAGGTTTGGGAGCTCAAAAAACAGCCACTTGGCAAAGTTGGAAATCACCTGATGTGGAGTCTCGTGTGTCCTTGATGTGATGGGCCAGTCGTAAAGACGGAACCAAATGATTATCCTATAGCGGCCACCTCATCCTATAGCGGCCTACCCCCTTCCCCCCGGCCTTTTAGAATATCATCTCCAGAGCACCTTGTTTGCAGCGCTCGTTCGCAAGCGAACGTTCTCTCTTTGCTTTCAAATCGAGGCTTGATGAATTGATTGCGACGCGGAAGAACATGGATGAGGATCGAGCTTGTGTAGATATGTGTAGATCATAAACTGAGGTATCAAGGTCTTTTGTGTGAATTATGGAATTATGAAACAAGGGAAACAAGAAAAGGGGAAAGGTCTAAAAGCAAAAGGACAAAGAAATAAAAAAGGAAAATAACAACGAAGAGACAGGAGAGAAAGAAAAATGTCTCAACCAGGAAGAAAGCAGCGAAGGAGGAAAGGAAAAAGGAAGAACACAGCAAAAGAAAGGAGGAAGGGAACAAGGAAGAAAGAAAGAGGAGAACAAGTCCGGAGGTAAAAGACAGGAAGAACTTGACACAAGGAAGACACAAAAGGGAGACAGGCTGAAAGGAAGACGGAAGACAGAAAGAAAGGAAGGAAGGAAGGACAGAAATGAAAAAAGAAGGGGAAGGAAGGTAAACACCAAGAACGAGAAAGGACCAGGAACGAATGAAAGGAGGAAAGGATCTTGACGGGGGGTATGAAGATATCAGATATTTCATGCGATGTGAGGCCACAGCTGTTTCAGGTGGCTTGCGGAAACTTCTTGTCGGAAATGGAAGATCGGCGCTATATCCAGCTGAGAGCTTATAAGGGATGCTCACAGTTGGGAGACAGGCAGACAGGAAAAAACACCAACGTATGTGGCCCTCTTGGCTAGAAAGAACATGGATGTGGTCCCATTCCCAAGCAGCTGGAGAAGCATGAAAAGACGGCGGGAGATCATAGTGTCAAAGGAAGTTATGAGGTCAAAACTGTTGATATATATATATATATGTAATTATATAATTCTTTTGCCATGTGACAAAGGCAGAAAGGGAAAGGCAAGGAAGGCACAGAGCAAGGTCTTATATAAGGTCCAAGATAAAGCAAATGCCATATTAACAAGAAACCATGTCTAAATACAAACCCAAAAATGACCAAGAAGACAGTTCTAAACAAAAAGGAAAAGAACAGGAAGAACGGTCAAAGAAAAAAAGAGAGAAGCCGGTCTAAACGAAAGAGCAAAGGGCAAGAGAAAGGAGGGAAGAGAGTCTGGTCTCAAGATCATATCGGTATCCCATGCGAGTGCAATGAAAGCTCCTAGTAGCCTCTTGTTCCTAGTAGCGAGGCCAGGAGCCCCTAGTAGCGCCCTTGCTCCTAGTAGTGATGCCCTTTGCTCCTAGTGGCGTCCTTTACCCCCACAGTGAGATGTAGGTTGGCTTAACAAGTTTAGATTCAAGGCTAGGCTCGGGTGCGTACTGGCTTTGTTGTAGGTGTAATCTCTATCTATCTATCTATCTATCTTTCTACATGTATATATGTTTAATTGCACCTTCATTTTGTGTCTTCCTTGAATTGAATTGCTTTGAAGCTCTTTAAGCTAAGTTAAGCTTATTTTGGAGTTGAAATGGGCGCTTCGCAGGTGGCACCAGTGTCCAGTGGCAACACGGAGGCCAAGATGGGCACTGATCAGCGCTCGCGACATGCCGAGAGCACCTTGGTCCGCAGGGGTATATAATGTGTTCCTTTTCATTTCATTTTCAGTTTGAATTCTGAAAGGCATGAATCATGTCAGCTTGTGAGCAGAGCGTCCGACAGCATTGAGGCTTAGATGAGATGGATGAGGCCTGACATTCGGCTAGAAGCTGGGCGGATGCGAAGCTGACAACTTGTGCGGGCTCGGCAACGATTGCATTTCTCTATCGAAACTCTCTGAGTTGGTTCCGAGAATTGAGAACTTTCTTTGCTACTTGGACTTGGCTTGCTGTGGAACAAGAATGCAAAGTGGTCGTAGCAACTACGTTTTTCTAATTGTTGTTTCTCAAAGAAGAGAAAGCATCGAAGAGACAACATGAAAGGAAGGACAAAGGACAAAAAATGAAGCAAGACAAATGTTTTATTTTTGCTTATTATTTCTTGTTCAAGTTCCCTTTGCGTGCTCATTTGATATATTTTCTATGCTTTTTCGAGTGGCAGGCCTTGACCTCCTTGGAGGAAGAGTGCCTGGGTGCGAAGAAAGCCGCGGAGGCTGCTGGACCACAGCTGGCCAGGTCGAGGGGAGTCTCGCGAGAGTCGGAGAAATCGTCGACACAATTGGCTTCTTGCTACTACTTGCTCCAAGTAGTACGGCCACAACCCCTAGTAGTGTCCTTGCTCCTGGTAGCGATGCCAGGAGCCCCTAGTAGCTATTTTTCAATTAGGGTCCTGGAGTTTAGTACTTTGTAAATACTGGACGTCGAATGGCATTGTCACGTTGTAACAGACGCCTTTGGCACGTTGGAGTGTCAAATTTTGTAGGATGGTGGAGTTCATGGCCACGGGGCAGAAGAACTTGCGAAAACTCTTCGGAGATCTCAAGATCACGGAACGGCTGCTTGCCTAGGAGCAAAGGGCATCGCTACTAGGAGCAAGGACGCTACTAGGGGCATCGCTACTAGGAACAAGGGCCTTACTAGTAGCAACAATAAGTGTAATTAGAATTTCATTCCACTTGCCTCATACATGCTTTTACCCACTGTCAGGGGGAGGGTAAGGCCAGGGGATTCAATTCATTTCATGTCTTGATGGCCGCCTCGATTTCAATTGTTTTACCAAGTGCCTTGACAGTGAGATATCCTTAGCTGAATGTTTGCATCCTGTCAGAACTGAAAGGGATGCAAACAATCATACACCCCTCCAGTCCATCTCAGGAAGCAAGAAGAGGCACGTCAAAGACTGCAAGATCTGGTTTTGCCAGAAAGCCGGCAGCTGGTCTACGAGATGGTGCGGACCTCCCAGCAACTTGAGTGCTTCGCCCCTAATCTTTCGGATTCTTAAGCCAAATATTGTTTGGTATTTGTTTACAGAAAAAACAGAACAGAAAGAAGAAAAGGCAGGACCGCTCTAAACGTCCGAAGAAAAAGCACCTGGAAGGACAAAGCTGTGTTGTGTTGCTTTTTGTTTCCATGTCACCGTCAGCCTTGCGTCAAGGCAGTGGAGCTCCTGGATACCACCATTTTACCAGTTCAAAGCAGCTCCTCTGCAGTGCCTGCAAGCAGCGAGTGTCTCGGCCTTTGAGGAGATCTTGAGATATATTCTTGAAGACCATACAATCTAATAGGAATGGCCTCCATCGCTCTAGTCTTAGCTCCACCCTAGTAGCGATGGCCTCCAACCTACTACTAGCCATGGCCTCCAACCTACTAGCGATGGCCTCCAACCCACTAGCAATGGCCTCCAACCTAA